GACTGAAGGCAGTCTCAGACCTGCTTTTACTAGCTGTCTCTACTGAGCAAGCCATAACCTCTGTACCAGTTTCTCCATCTAGAAGAGGGAACACCTGCATTTCTGAAATTACAGAAGTGTTACAAAGAACAAGTGATTTAGACTGCAAACGGTAAAAAACTAATATAGAACGATCAGACTATTATGATGTTAGGTCAATATGTATGAGTACAGAAAGGGAGGTGAGGAGAGGTCACTGACCGACAATACACTATACTTTTTCAGCTGTTAGAAAAAAAAAAAGAGGACACACACACGCACATACACACACACAACTGAATCACTAAGCGATACACCAGAAATTAACACAACATTGTAAACCGAGTACAATTAAAAAAAGAAAAGGGAAAAAAAAAGAATGCAGTATTTGGGAATAAATTTAACAACAGGAGTGCAAGGCTTGAACACTGAAAGCTACAAAACACTGGTGGGAGAAATTAAAGATCTAAATAAGTTGTGGGACATTCCACATCAGTCATTTAAAAATGGGCAAAAGATCTGAACAGACACTTCACCAAATAAGACAGAAAAGCGGCCAAAAGCATATGAAATAAGTGACATTATCAGTCATCAGGGAAATACAAATTAGATTCACAATACCACTTCACACCCACTAAGATGGCTATAAAAATAATAATAATAATAAAAGAAGATGGGCAATACTAAGTGTTGACCAGGCAGTGGAGAAATCGGACACTTCACATATTGCTGGTGGGAATATAAAATAGTACAGTCACTTGGGAAAACCTTTGCCATTTTCTTAAAAACTAGACAAAAACTTACCATATGATTCACCAATTCTACTCCTGTATATATCCCAAAGAAATGACAACATATGCAAATGCAAACACAGAAACTTACGTAAATGTTCATAGCAGCATTATTCATATTATCAAAAAAAAAAGAATCGAAGTGTCCAACAACTGGCAATTGGATAAACAAAATGTGCTATAGCCATACAATGGAATTCTAACCAGCAATAAAAAGGAGCTACTGATACATACTATAAAATGGATAACCTTGAAAACATCGTGCTAAGCAAAAGCAGCAAGGTGCGAAAGACTAGATATTCCATGCCTTTATTTACACGAGATGTCCAGAAGAGGAAGGCAGACTGGAGGTTGTCTGGGGCTGGGAATGAGGGCTGACTGCTAACAGGTACAAGGGGCTTTCCGAGGTGCCAGAAATGCTCTAAAACTGGATTGTGGTGATGATTGCACAACTTTGTAAATTTACTAAAAGTAACTGAATGCTACACGTAAAATGGATGAATTTTATGATATGCAAATTATACTTCAGTAAAGCTGTTTTAAAAATCACTGTAAAGACATGCAAGAACCAGTAACAGTGCTGTACACCAGAAATTGATACAGCGTTGTGAACTGACTATAATTCAATAAAAAAACCCCAAACACACCTAGTAACAGTGAACAGCTCTGGAACGGAAAGATGAGTGCCTGGGGAACAGAAGAGAGGACACTCTTTATCAAAGACTCTTTCATACATTTAAAATTTTGTAACAGGTGATTTTATTACCAGTTTAAGAAGTGAGAATAAAGAAAACAAAAACATAGGGAAGAGTGCGGCAATGAGGTTTAATAGCTCAGGTGAGTTCAACAGGAGTAAAACATACTTTAGGCCACAGACAGGTTCGGCTTTCAGAAAGGAAGAGGAGACATCTGCTGTGTCAAGTGCTCTCACCATCTGAAGCACAACACGCTTAGTGCAAAGGGACATGTTTAAAAACAGGAAATCAACAAACTTAGCAACCCAGAGGCTGTCAACTTGGGAAAAGGGAGCAGGAAGTATGACCTGTGAGGAATGGTTCACAGACTGGACCTGAGTGAAAATTGTTCAGGGAAGGGAGTGGGGACCTGAGATGTAGATGATTAGAATCTACTTTCTGTGCCTTGAGAGAGCAGAACTGGAGACAGAGCCAGGAAATCTAATGTAGACAGAATGTGGATCTTTGTAAGTTTTTAAAACCTTTGCTGACCAGAACCTCAAACAGAAAGAGATGCTGATGAGCAGCAAATGAGTGATGGAGCTGTCGAAGCAGAGGCTGAAGCACCTAGTGGGGCAGAGGCAGCGTAAGTGTTGATGGTTCCTTCCAAGAACAAGTCTGAGAACCTCTTGCACTTTCAAAGTACACAACTAATCATGGTCTGCACCACTGGGTGTGAAAGCACATAGGTTTACATCTGATTAAATGAGGAGTCTTGATGTGTGTGTTTCTGTTTCTAGTTCAAATCTCTCTTGCTGATTTAAGTTCACTCCTGCCTATGAAACATTTAAAAATAGAAAACAGTCTGAAATCCTTTCTCAACAAAATACATTTAGTTAGCCTTCTAAGATGGCGAAAATCAAAAGGACAGACAAAAACAAGTGTTTTCAAGGATGTGGAAAAATGAGAACCTTCATTCATTGCTGCTGGGAATGCAGAATGGTACCAATACTTTGGATAACTGTCTGGTAGTTCCTCAAATGGTTAAACATAGTTACCGTATGATCCAGGGAATATACACTCCTCGACACACGCCCAGAAGAAATATAAACTAGGTCTACACAAAAGCTTATATACGAATGTTCATAGTTTTGTTAATAGTAGTTAAGAAATGGAAGAAGTCTCAATGTCTGTTAAATGATAGACAGATAAAGTAAAGATAAGTAAAATATGTGTATTCATACAATGGAATGTTATTTGGTCATAAAAAATGAATTACATGCTACAGTGTAGATGAACTTTGAAAACACTATGAAGCGAAAGAAGCCAGTCACAAAAGATCACATTATTGTATGATTCCATTTACATGAAACGTCTAGAATAAACAAATCTATAGACACAGAAAGTAGATTAGTAACCATAGCCTCAGGCAAAGGCAGGGGTGGGAGGTTAGGAGAAATAAGTGACTGCTCATGTGTATAGGGTGTTTACAGTAGGTGTTGAAAATGTTTTAAAATTAAATCGGGGCGATGGTTGCTTGACTCTGTTAATATACTAAAACCCACTAAACAGTTTACTTAAGGTGAATTTTATGTTATGTGAAAGATCTCAAGAAAGCT